CATGGAGGCGAATTTCGGAAATATCCTATCACGGAAAATACGAGACATAGCGAGGAACATCAATAGAAAACGCGTAAGTTTGCTCATTTTATAATTGTTTGTCTTGGACTAGCTTTAGACTTACAGTAACAGAACGTTGTTGTTTTGTAAAGCCTAAGATTGTAAGTCCGTCCATTTCTGTGGTTATTTTTCTGAAATTTTTGCAAAAGTTAGTCATTGCATAGCTACAGCTTTTAATGAAGGTTATAATTCGCTGTATATCCTAAATAAGTATTGCCACTAAAAATTTATTTATTTCCAAAAACACTCGAAGAGCTTGAGTTTTATTTATTTATATGTTTATTTATTTTTGAATATTGCATAGGACATTCATAGGAATTTCATTTCAAAATTTCCTCCAAACATTTCTGCATCTGATAGTATATAACTCTGAAGTGTGTTATTACAGCGCTGAAGGAAAACTACTAAACAGAGCCGACACCCAGAGACGGTGCAATCGGTGTAGTCTCAAAAAAGCGGCGGATGTGTTAAAACTGAGAAAGAAATCAGGTTGCTGAATTTAGAATTCGCAGAGTTTGCACTGGCGGGGGGGGGACAAAAATCCTAGTGCCAGTCCTGCTGTTAAAGAGATTGCAAAGCATATAGAAATACCTATGTTAACAAGAATTCTGAGATTTTTAATTTTTATAGCTAGTGTATAATACTTCTGGACGGGATGTTTAAATATTGAGTTGTTTCTTTGATATTTTAAATGAATCGGGAGACCCAAATAACATATTACGTGACATCCTATAAGCATGCTGATACGAAAACACGATAAAACTGATCACTATAATAAGAATGTTAGTTGTAATTTTGTATCGCATGTGTAGTTGAGACCAGTTTTCCATTTCTGCAAATTTGTAATTTTATTACTCACCATGAGGCGCCGTTTTTAAATTTATTCCTTATTCTTACGTTATTCATTAACGTATAAGATTTTTTCCTACTACTCTTGATGATCTTTTCTGGTACATATTATTCTTCATTAAATTTTAATGGTGTTCTCATTACTTTACAAAGATGAAACCAGTGTCGATGTTAATGTAATACACTGACTTGTGAACTGACTGTCCATAAAATTGAAATTAGAATATTTAATTGTGTTTTTTTCTTTACTTAGATATTTTATGAATTTTACATAGTAATTATTTTACATAATGCGCACATTTGATTTCATCTGTATTGTTAACTTCTGCAAAATAAAACAGTATATATAAATTCGCAGTTGTTTGGATTTTTAATTTAATTTATTTTAGTAATTAATATTCATTTATTTTCAATATTAGATCTTTATTTGGCAACGTGCAGGGAAGCAGAATACGTACAATAAGACAAAGCACTTCAACTACATAAATGTATTGAATATGTGTATGAATATGTAGGTAAGATATTAATTAAATGTATTGAATATGAGATTATTACGTTGCTATTTATGCATATAGGTAAACTTCCTAACTAAAATAATATATTGCCCATTATCGAGAGATAATATAAAGTACCTCACATCTTCTACGGTTAGTTTGAAGTATAGAATTCTTTATCTGTATGTATCCAAATAGCTGTAAATCTTCTAGTATGTTATCAATGGTGCTGCCATCTGTTGAGCAATTTTAATAATGCATAAAATTGTATAAATATAAGAGAGTTAATCCTCCAAAAGAGTTTACAGACGTACAAGCAAGAATACATTGCTTTTAATAGAAGAAGTTGTGGTCATATTTTAGGGGGTTAAATACATTGATATAATTCGAGGCAAACAGAAAAGTAGGCAATTTAAGTATTAATATGTATTTTTGACATGTAATTTTTAATGTCAACTGAAGTGTCATTTTGTAAATTAATTTTATATTTTCAAAACGAATCTGAGAAAAAAATTTGAAGAAAAAGAAGATAATTTATTAACAATTTAAATGTTTAATGTATTGGATCACTGAAAATATGAAACTGATGTTCTAAACCAGCGTTATCTTTTACCAAATGCTGTTCAACAAAACTCAGCGTTTTTCAGCATGAAAATTATTTAAGAAAAAATATCAGCATTAAAATAAATATTAGTTTAAAGATAAATAAAAAATAGGCTCTCTTTAGTAATTTAAAAGTAAGACTGAGGAAAAAAGTGTAACAATATTTTATCGAAACAAACTGTGTGTTTCGGAGTTAAGTAATATTTTAGTTAATATTGAAAAATAGGTAAATAATGGCCAAACAGGTTTTTAAGAATTTATGAATTGAAGTTCCTTTTACCAATTTATGAACTGAAGTCTGAATCTGACAGTTTTAGATTTAGATTTTAGTTGTGTGAATCGTAAAAAATTGCTCATAAACATTGTTAGAGATTATAAAATATTTGTTAGCAATTTTACAGTTTCACCAGTAACAATATTTCTCAAATTCATGCTCTACGGATACCATCTATAAGAAATTTGTTAAAAGTGAAGATCGTGAAATTTTTTATCCTAATTTCATGGACAGTCTACAATCAAAATCAATGGTATATGATGAGAGTTTCAAAATTTCTTTTCTACAATCCTGTCAGCATAAAAATTTAAATAAAATTTCCCTAACAAATTATTCAGATCATTTTTAATCATTAAAAGTACTAGTAATTTACAAATTTGTATTTACTTAATAACTGTTATTACGTAAAAAATATAAAAAAAATATTTACTCGATTAAGTAATAAGTTTCGAATCTCAAATAAATTTCTTCAGGTAAATTATTAAATAATAATTTTAATCATTTGGCTCTCCAATATGATCTTTTGATATTTCACACTAATGTCTTATCCTGCTGCAGGCTTATGCTATTTAAACCTGCAAAAGATTTCGCTTTAAACGAATTCTGAAAGAATATGATAAAAGGTATTAAATAAATTGAATAAAGCAAGGCGATTGCGTGATCTCTCTCTACTACGTTGCGTTGGACATAAATTTAAGAAGATTCTTAAGAAGTTTACATGAAAGTCTGTTTTCATTTAACCCTTACTGCAGCTAGGAATGTAGCCAGTTTGTCTATAAACTTGAAAATATGTCTGAATAAATCCGCAGATACTTACAAACTGTTAGTGTTTGTTGCATTTTTGATGTTACAGTTTTTTCAACAGCATACTTATCAAAGTATAGGGTTGGTCATTCTTACCTCGTAACTGCTTTTATAGTTATCTGAAGATGATTTTATTGACATATAAAGAGTATTACTTCTTCCCTGAATTACATCTCTGTTGTCCTAAAAAATTAACATTTTATCTTTCAACGGGTTATTTCTTCACACAAAATATATTCATGTCAATCAATAAATCAGCTAATTTAGTTTCGACCACACTTAATTTAAATCTTAGCATAAAATATTTCTACTTCTTTCAAGGTAGCTACAAATGTTACTGTCGTTAAGTTACAAAAACTAAGTAACATTGGTAGTTTGTCCAAAATTCCTGTTCCTGCGTTTGAAATGACTGACGATATAAGTTTCCACAGTTCCCAACTGTTTACATGTAACATAAACACTGTTTCTCTGAAACAAGATGAAAGAGTTGAAAAGAAAAGAGGATTTCCTTCGAACAGCAAGATCTATGAGAATGCCGATAGTCTCGAAATCTTTGCCTTAAAAAAATAATTCCAAATTAAAAATTTTGCCTTAAAATTAAAAATTCCAAGTTCTTTCATATTGATAAAATATTACAAATTAATTTAAAACGGATAAGATACAACGGAACAGAAATTCTTAAGCCTAGAAGGATGAATAATAAAATTATTTCCTAACTAAATAAAACTAATTAGAATCAAATTTTATTGAAACGAAAATGATAAAAGGATTTTCCAGGATAGAGGCAAATTTAATTTCCAAGCTTTAATTACAAAATCTTCTAATCCTAGGTATAGGCCTTAACAAAAATTATCTCAATTATTAACGGTAGGCCAACAAGAAAGAATCCACCCAACTGTTCAGTGAAAGTCAGCGTTCAAAGTTTAGACATTCCTAAAAATTTCTTTTAAGTCGTTTTAATTAATTACCTCATTTATGCATGCTCGCACTCGTGCGTTATACAATTTTAGAGGAAACAAATGCCTAGATTAAACAATTTTTCTTTAAATTATAAGCCTTCCAAATAAATCATATAGTTTTATCATGACTGACCTATTTTAGAGACTTAATATATTATTAACTGGGTAATTTGTAGAGAACTGAAATAATTTAAATTTGAAATTTTTTCATGAAATTAGTGAAACTTTCAGTTCGATTACGCTTTGTGAAACTGTTAGATCATTTCTCTTAAAATTAAAAGAATTTGATTAGATACGAAAATAATAAAAATTCAAACATAGCAAACAGCAAAAATTCTTCTTTTAAATACACTATAGCTAAGTAATGCAGACAGCTTTGAAGTATGCAATGCAAAAGGATCAGATCAAAAACAGCTATTCTAGAATACACGCATCGCATTTCCGTTACAGTTCCTCTTTCCAACAGATCAGCTTTCAAAAATAAAAATGGCTTTTGTGAAAAAGCTAGCTCTTGTAGAAAGTGAACACATAACAAAAGTAATGAATTTTTTATTATTAAAAATATTTTCATGCTAATAATAATCAGTATGGTAGTGGTCAGTAAAACCGATCTGCAGTTACTGTACATTGATGCTGAGTATTTTATTCATATTAATAACATTTTTAGTTATGCATTGTATCACTGGGCGAAAAGGATTTTGCACTGTGTCGAATGGTCATTTAAAGACAGTTTTAATATCCTTCTTTCCGCCATTTCTCATAAAATGTAACAAACACGGAGCGTTCCGCACATATTCATTCTGACCTTCCCATATAACCCCTCAAAAGGGAGGAGATCTTATTTTCTCGCTCTCGTAAGCACAGAACAACGCCGAATCTGGCGTAGACTCTCTCGTGAACAATGAATCCCCTTTGAAATGTCTTTATGAAAAGAGGCAGTGAAGCGCATTTCGCGTATATAAGAACTTGCAAGTTATGAATGGAAATTGAGTTTAAAATCTCTAAGAGAAACTTACATCTGTAAATTGTTGCTTTAAAAGCTGCACATGCCACGTTATCCAACAACTTTAATTTTTTTGTTCTTTCAAAATATATTCAATTTCAGTTGTTACATATCTGTAAAGTTTACAGAAAAGAACAACGAAGTTTGATAAATTTGGATAATTCAGGTACGTAAACTTCAATTTAATAAGAAATAAATTTATTTTTAATATTCAACAGGAAATAAAATTTTAGTGATTTATATATATATATATAAAGTTAACTGAAAAGTTCTTTTTTTCCGATTCCTTCTGTTAGACACTCATATATCGTCTTTTAAAATTAAAAAATTAGCAATTAATTTTCAAAAATCAGACAGTTTGCCTTAATTTTTATTAAATTAAAATTTTACGTTTTATTATATGCAATATACGGTTTTCATTAATTATTTGTTTAATTATTTAATAAACATTATATAGTGTAATTAGATTATCTAACCTTTCACGCAGATATGTCTTTAAAATCTATTTAATAAAGTTTACACCGATATCGCAAAAGTCTTTACCCAGCCTTTAATTTCAGAAGTTAGAGAAATGTTTTAAATTTCTAAAATATTAATGTTTTTCTATTTTTAAATGAAACAAATCAGTTTTGTTAAATTAAGAAAATTAAAGTTTTACACATCTTCCGAAGCCTAGCCTTATGTTTTGGAAAATGTTATAATCATTAGGTTTAAAAATTTATTCCCATGCAATGAAAGATACTTTGTTTTAAAACTGGACATCATATAGGATCTTAAAACAACAAAACCGCAAGAAAATTTTAATAACGTATTCCTAACATTTCAAAGCTTATAAGTCTGGATTATTCAGTTCTTCGCGTGAAAGTTCTTTTGCTATACCAATTGTAATATTGCAAAGTAAAGAATGTTACATGTTAGTAAATCACTAAAGAATATCTGAAAGAAATTTAAGGAAATAAAAACATCAGCCTCGAATTATTCTAACTCATTTATTAATTGACTCCTCAAATCAAGTTTGACGTCAAAAATCGCAAATTTTGAAGTTAAACATATCGTTTAAATTTTGCCGTACGGGTAGCCAGGCCTTTTGTGTTTTATTTTTTATAATGAATATAACATTTTCCTGAATATAAATATTGGGAACTGGGGAACGTATATAAAGTTACATTTAATAATTTAATACTTTATACGATTTGTTTCAGTTAAAAAATACGAAAACATGAATCTTTATAATGTAATGTAATATACGTGTATGCTGCAACCCTCTTGGCCGATAATAATCGCAAGTTGTATAGTTTGTTTCAGTTAAAAATATGAAGATAGGAATCCTTGTGTCATTTAAGTAATTTTCATAATGGAAGCATGTGTCTGCAACCAGTGATTGTGAAAAGAAACGCCGGGAAATTATTTTTGCAGGCATGGTGTATAACTCCATTTTTACTAAATTGGGGTATTTTATCGAAGAATTCCATGAGTATTTTGATTTAACATTAATTCTATTCAGTTAAAGATTAGTTAAGGAAAAATTATAAGTCTTAAGTTCTCTTACGAGTGTAATTATTTTTATCAAATATCTAGCTCAGTCACGAAATTTGATAACCTTCCTTCCCGTAAGTTTCCAGGTACATTAACAAGTACGTATGATTTGCGCTAGCGATCTGAATATGAGTTTTGACGCTCCAAAACACATAAGAAAGGTTAAAAAATCAAAACTAATCACTAATTCTCATGAAACAAAACATTTATAACATTTTCACTCCGCATATACATATATCACATAAGTACTTCAGTTCCTACTTTGTTCAAAAGGAGATAACTAATTAAAAGTACTTTAAAAAATCTGATGTGGCCACCACGACTTTTTTATACGGCCTAATAAATATTCTTTCCAGAATAACAATAAACTGATATTGAATATGGTTGTCTATTTATCGTTAGACTAACTACATACATAAACTGTATACAACAAAATATATACAATTAGATTTCGTTATTTATCGAAAATATTTTTTTTAATTTAACACTGCCAAAACATGAATATTTTCGTCACTTAAAACGCTTATGTAATTGGAAGTATATGACTATAACCAATAATTGCAAAAATAAAGGCCGGGTTAGGACTTTTAAGCCGGGTAAGGGGTGGGTATAATATATACATAACGTTTAAGCACTGCTGATTGCAATAAAAAATGAGGTGCACAACTAGGTGTTATATCTGTCCCATTACAAAGTTTCAACGTTCTACGGCTAATCGTTTTTGAGTTTTGCGAGATACATAGATACTTACGTACGTACGTACAGACAAAAAAAAACTTTTGAATCCATTTCAAATCCATTTTACAATCCGTTTAAAAAAAAGAGTCCTTTATTCTATACGTACTTGCAGAGCCACGTAAAAAAATCGTCCAAATGGATTCGGGAGCGATCAAAATACATTTCCGTTTGAACATGATACCGAAATTTTTCGCGATTAGAACGGTTCCTTTACTTCGTACAAAGAAGTAAAAAAGAGAGAAGGAGATTATTTTAATGATAAATGTTTTAGTAATACAAAATGTTACTTTTAAAATGCTCCAAGGAAGTGAAAGGTACTTACTTACACGTTGTTCCCCCATGCATGATTTGGTGTTGCAAATGGTTAGTTACTAAAATTAGGGTCTCGGTGATGGCATAGTTGATTTCTTATGTTTTCTGGTCCAAAACACATAATGCCTCTACAGTGGGGGACGATAACTCTTCACTTCTGTTTTGCCTGCTGTGTTTTGTACCTTTTTTTTTTTTTTTTTATTGAAAATTTTAAATCCTTGTGCACCACATAGTATTACACAAGGCTTACAGAGTTAAGTTAAAAAAAAATACAACAACAAACAGACAAACAAACAAAATCAAACAAACAAACAAAAAAAACAAAAACAACAACATGTTGTTGTTTTGTACCTTAAAGGATGATTGAGGAAATCACATTTAAGTAGGGAAGAATATAAGAAATTATCGCCATTATCTCATGATGCTGCATACTTTCAGAGAGCAAGGTTTTCCGTAGTTGTAGTCCAGGCGAGGACATAGCTAACCTTTTACGTTTTCTACTCCGAAAAACTGTATTGCGCGACCTATGCTTTAATTCCTAAAATTTCCCACATTTTATTAGTTATTATTCAAATATTTGAATTTATTAGACACTCCTAACTACCTACCATTACTAGCCTGTTACCTGGTAAAGAAAGCAGCAAAAGATGTGGAAAAAATATCGATATAGAATTGAAGGTAGGAAATAGTGGTTATGATAGCAACGTATACGCTACATTTATAGAAAAATTTCTGAGATACCTTTTGGATTCTATCACTTTTTAAAGCGCAAAACTCTCTAACCAGTTATTTACTCTTGTCTCAAGTTCAATAGATTTTTTGACAAACTTTTATTTGGTTTAACTTATTTCCCCAATTTCACACTTACATTACTGAGAAGGATTTCTGTCTCGTTTTTAAAATATAACTTTGTTCTAATCATGATATTTTGCTTAATACCTATTTTACTAAAAGGCTGAAAATTGAAGACTAGGAATGAGTATAAAATAAACACTAACCTATTAGTCTTAAGTACTCCAAAAGTACATCATACTTCCATACTTTGAAGAAAAATAACAAGTAAAAATTAAACACAGATCTATCAATCTTTTATTCCCAACTACTCTAAAAGTGCAATAATTTCTTACTTCCAAGACACCAAGATTAACTTTGAAACTGGAAACGACCAAAAAGTAATTTGCATCTGTGTTTTATAGATCCTTTTTTAAATTACCGGATTAATTTACGAAGTGACGCAGCAGATAATAAACAGCACATGCCAAAATTAATTAATACAAAAGTTGCTTCCTTCGAATTAATTACATTAGTGCTTTTAGTGTCTCAAATAATGAACACGAGCTCTTCCCTCGAAGGAAAGATTTATTTGCTTGTACCTTTGCAAAATCTTTTACAGATGTTGCTAATTTTTTGTTCAATTTTCGTATATTTATATACTGATGAAAAGGAAAAGTTCTTAATTTTCCTCAGAAATTATTATAAAAAATATGAACCACCACAAAGCGATGATCTCAGTTTTATTATAAAATGTATTCATTAACAATCAATAGATAAATCTGTCTGAAACTGGTATGGTAAACGAATCTCCTTCCTAAGCCATATATTGCTAGATTAAAAATTCCCCAAAATGCCGAGTATCAGGTGACTGTAAAATTTCCTCTAATCAAATATCTTGGGTTGTGCATGTAAACTTTATTATTAAGTATTATAAAGACTATAGATAATTATTACTAAAAATTTTATATGCGAGCTCTAAATTTTTAAAATTTCTTCTCCAGTCACCGAGGTTGATAAAACCCCGAAATGTTATCTTAAAATACACCGAATGGTTGAAATTTCAGAAATGCAGCTTGAATGATCTTTCAAAATTTTCCTCCTTTAACAATACTGCGAATATTTTAGTGTCAGATGTAAAGCAGAGTGTTGTTCTCTAGTCATGATAAATCATTCTGTACTTTTTGAATAGTCGTTAATGTGAACTAATAAAAATTAAAATTCTTTTCGGATTTTTTAATCCCAATAATTTTGCTTCCATTTATGCTCATAACTTTCATTTTGTACTTACGATATCCCAAATAAGGTTAATTTTTTCCTTTCGAAAACAAAGTAAGCAATTCAATTCATCATAACTATTTTCGAAACAAAGTAAGCATTTCAATTCATCATAACTATTTTCGAAACAAAGTAAGCAATTCAATTCATCATAACTATTTTCGAAACAAAGTAAGGAATTCAATTTATCATAACTATTCGCAAATACTTCCCTTTTTTATCATATGAATAACTGTACTGAATACAGTGCATTGAATAATTATAAATGAAAGTCTTCACGTCCATTGCAGAAGAATTTTTCATTATATTATCATTATATGAGTTGTTCAAATCTAAATATTTTTTAAAACAATAACTGATTTTAAATTCGAAAAAAATATTATATAAAATCTACTTAACAAGTACACACTTTGAATAATAAATATCATTGAGGAGATAAATCGCAGTTAGAGGAAAAGTGAGCTTTTCCCCAATAGCACATCTTAAATCTTGTATTCGATTATTTAGATTATGGCAAAACATTCCAGGAAG